ATTAAAAATTCATTAAAAATTCATTAAAAATTCATTAAAAATTCATTAAAAATTCATTAAAAATTCATTAAAAATTCCTTAAAAATTCCTTAAAAATTCATTAAAAATTCATTAAAAATTCATTAAAAATTCATTAAAAATTCATTAAAAATTCATTAAAAATTCATTAAAAATTCATTAAAAATTCATTAAAAATTCATTAAAAATTCATTAAAAATTCATTAAAAATTCATTAAAAATTCATTAAAAATTCATTAAAAATTCATTAAAAATTCATTAAAAATTCATTAAAAATTCATTAAAAATTCATTAAAAATTCATTAAAAATTCATTAAAAATTCATTAAAAATTCATTAAAAATTCATTAAAAATTCATTAAAAATTCATTAAAAATTCATTAAAAATTCATTAAAAATTCATTAAAAATTCATTAAAAATTCATTAAAAATTCATTAAAAAATCAATTTTTTTCATAAAGATAACAGGATACTGAAATAAAAATAGTGCTAAATTGTCAATAAATATAAAATACAACATAAACAAATAACAAAATCACTTAGGAAGGGGATGAAGGGGTCAAATTAAATAAAATTCTATTAAAAATCTATTTAAAAATTAATTTGCCTAAGAAGACAATTCGCTATTGAAATAAAATTAGTACCAAATTGTTAAAAAACTATAAAAAACATTCTAAAAAAATGAACAAAATCACTTAGAAAGGGGATGAGGGGGTCAAATTAAATAAAGTTCCATTCAATACCTATTTAATACCGAATTGTTTTAGTAAGCAAATAAATTTTTAAAAAAATTTTTAATGGAATTTTGTTTAAATTGACCCCGTCATCCTCTTTCTAAGCGTTTTTGTTCTTTTTTTAGGTTGTATTTTATAGTTTTTAACAATTTGGCAGTAATTTAATTTCAATACCCAATTGTTTTCATAGTCAAATTAATTTTTAAATATATTTTTAATGGAATTTTATTTAATTTGACCCCCTCATCCCCTTTCTAAGTGATTTTGTAAATTTTTTTAGATTGTATTTTATAATTTTTAACAATTTAGCACTAATTTTATTTCAATACCGAATTGTCTTTTTAGGCAAATTAATTTTTAAATAGATTTTTAATGAAATTTAATTTAATTTGACCCCCTCAGCTCCTTCCTACGTGATTTTGTTAAATACTTATGGTTGTATTTTATAGTTTTTAACAATTTGGCACTAATTTTATTTCAATACCGAATTTTCTTCTTAGGCAAATTAATCTTTAAATAGACATTTAATGGAATTTTATTCAATTTGACCCCCTCATCCCCTTTCTAAGTGATTTTGTTATTTTTTTACGTTGTATTTTATATTTATTGACAATTTGGCACTATTTTTATTTCAATATCCTGTTATCTTTATAGAAAAATGGATTTTTTTAATGAATTTTTAATGAATTTTTAAAGGATTTTTATTTCAGTTTACCCCTTCATCCTTTCTCTAAACACTTTTTATTTGTTTCTTAAAAATTTAGTAGTAATTTTATTTCAATACACTGTTTTCTTCGCAGAAAAATACATTTCGACGCCACTGGTAATTCGGGTGTTTCCGGTAAACTGGCTGCTGGAAAGTGGCTGCTAAGTTCACACCGGTATAGATTTTGATTTTTAATAAAAATTTCATGTTGATATCGCTTTTCATTTTTGAATTATTATTATTTTTATATCAACCCCCCATTTTTAATCAGATTTTTTTATCAAAATCAAAGAACTTCTTCTCCTTATAAAGCTTGATGTTTGCTAAAAATTTTAAGTCAATATAATTTTTCGTTTTTGAGTTAGGATTTTTTTTTTTAAATATTTTAACCCCCCTTATCTCCCTATTTTTAATCAGATTTTTTCAAAATCAATAGGCGTTGTTTGTCTCCTTATAGAGCTTGTTTTTTTTGCTTAAAATATTCAAATTGGTATCATTTTTCGTTTTTGACTTATCGTGCAGACAAAAAACGTGATATCGGGCAAAGTAAACCTAATACTCTTCACAGACTACTGTGTGAAGAGTAGAATAACATAAAACAATAACATAATAGCCTAAAAAATACTTTCTAGTCTTTTTCGGCAAATAATACGAAATCTCAATTAGGAACGTATACATTTCTATAACTTATAACAAATTAATAATTGATTTATTAACTACATTGCGTTGAACCTACTTCTGAAATATTAGACCGAATATAATTTTTGGTAATCAATTAAATAAAAATTAATATAAAATCAGCTTAAAAGTGGCAGCCACGCTTAGCTGCCGGCCATTCATAAATTATTGCATTTCTGACATTTTTGTACAAAGTTATATAGTAAAAAACATCAAGTCTTGTTTATTTATTGGACGTTTGGACAATATTAAACATTTTATTTTGAAATTATGGATAGAAAGTGCCAATTGGGCAAAAATTGGATTATCTAAATCCAAAATTTATCGTTCAAAGTTTAAATTGAAGTAAATTATAGGTTAGGTTTTAACCATAGGCGTATCTTTAATCTGTACATTCACCAAAAAATGTCTATTTGAGAACATGAATTAATTTTTTCTTTTTGACCTACAATTTTCTATTCAATCAAAATTGGTAGGTACCAATGATTTAGAACTCCTGGGAATTATGAAAGTACAAATCCCAGCTATCATGTTCAGAGAACATAACACAAGCAGTTTTACAGTACTTTTCCCCGAAAGTTGTTCTGAAACGTTTTATAGATGTTAGTAGTTCTACAGCATTATAGTGTGTTGATGGATGAACATACCTATACTTGTACAAATATTAATTTTACATAGAAAAGTAATTTTTTATAATTTCTTTTACTTAAATAAATACGATTCACGTTGAGAAATTGTGAAAAACGACTTTTTTTTACTTTTATGTATCGTAATACAGAGAAGGCTGTTATTGAGGTTATGGTTAAATCTCAATAAGGCATGGAAATTTCAAATAAAACAAAATGTAAAATAATATAAATTTATTAATAAAGTGTTCTAGAAATCAAGTACTAATATCACAAAACTGAAGGTATTAATAAGGTAGGTATATCACAAAGTAACACAACTAATTTGGGATATTGCGTTGTATGGATATTGATTGGGGAATTGATTTTGTTGTGAGTTATTTATCAAAGTGTTTTGCTGACAACGTCCAGTTCGATAATACATTACATGTACTTAGGGCCTTTTTTAACGTGGTTTCCCCGGTAGGCCTATTCTACCGATCTGTTGTGGCTCTTTTTAATTTGAAACTATTGAATAATAAAGGATATTGACAAGGGTTAAAAACACTGATCTGTATTATTTTACTGGATAGGATATAGGCTATATTTAACATACTGAAAAACCGTTCCACCAAGGAGGCCGGAAGTGCAACAATGCTGGCCGATTTGGGCAAATTATACTGGGTTCACAGAACTGAAATTTGGGATAATTTGACATACCTAACCTATAATTTGATTAGTTTTTCTTCTTATTCTTCTTCTATTCCTTTTGCGGGCGATCTCCTTCGGGAAAATTCACCCATGATTTAATTTTTTATGCAAGAAAATATAAAAATGGAAACGTGAAGCATATTGTGTCTTCAGGAATGAACGTTTATTATTTATTTCATACTCTTTTTACTTTGTTTTCCATAATAAAAACATCTCATCGTAGCTTGTTGACACAATTAAATGACAAATGTGATGACAAATGGAAATAGAGGTTACGTTAAATAACATCCGGTCCGCCATATTATTTGCCCAAATCGGCCAATTTTTCGGAACGTTTTTTAGGGGGCTATATCCTATCCAGTAAAATAATACAGATCAGTGGTTAAAAATGATAAAAACTGTGTAAAAAAAATAGGGAAATTTAATCGTCGGAATCATAATTCTCAAATATTTCTGCTTCCTCTTCTACTTTTTCTTCTTCTTTTGCATTTAGAGGTTGATCAAAAGTCACAATGCATACAGTGTGACCAAGCAGTTTTGCATTCTCTAATGCACAAAGTAAAGTCGTGTAAATAGTATTAGAGTTACTTGCTGGTAGATGAATAAAGGGTAAAAATGTTTGCTAAACGTTTAATAAAGCCATTCCAATCGGGTAATGACGTATTTTTCCATTTCCCATAAAACCATACTACATCAGCTTTTTTTGAGGAAAGAAACTGTTTCAGTCCCATTAGCAAAATCTCGAACATTTATTGTACTGTAACCTACAACACCGTCATTTTGATAGATCTGTATCGGCACATGAGCTATGACCTTGAAATCTTTTGCTGAAAGGGCTTCTTTTATTCGTGGCATAGGTTCTTAGAGTAAAACGGAATCTTTTGGAGTAACAATTTGAATAATACCCATTATGTGGAGCGTGCTATTACCGTCTAGTGTATTTACATTAATATCAGCATTGTCTGCAACGTATTGAATAAGTGTGCCACTTTGTGGTGGTAGGACATGAGAAGGACGATGAAAAACTGAAGCTGTCATTATGAGATGCACACAAACCGAAAGATGAAAAAAATTTGTATAAGACGTTTAGACCCAAACCGTCGAAGAAAAAAAACTGACGGACCTAATTTGTAATTTAGACTTAAAAGACCCCGGCCGAACAGCAGTCATTATACTATGGCTAATATATGTGCATATTAATTTTAAATGATCTAAATTTGATCTTCTATTTTTTTAAATCACTTGTTCCAAAAAATGTGTCAGCGACTCTGGGATTTCGTTGTTTAAATTTTATAACATGCGACCTGGTGGAGGGTAGTTAGAATTATCCAACAATGTGGATTGAATATTTTCGCGAATGATTGCTGCAGCAGCTTCTAAGATTCTGAGTCGTTCTTCTTTTTTATACAATTTTTTCTTTTTATACCAAGCTTTATTCAAAATATCATGATGATTGTCTACTAAGCATATGAATGTTGATATTCCCGATTTTTCAGTGATAATAATTTTATCACCATACCTTAGCTTCAATCGTATCTTTAGCGTCCGGTTAAATATAGTTGTAGTTTTGCAAACATTTATTAATTCGTTCATCGCTATTTTCGATGTAAGTGAATAATTCCTCCATTGCCAGATTCGTAGTTTCATCTTGAGGACGACCGACTTTAACCCCAGTGGCCGGTTTCAAAAAGGAATTAAAGCAATCATGATGATACTTAGCCTCAGCAGCAACTAAATCGTTTTCGAATCGAGCAAGAACAGCTTTTGCCATAGCATCAGAACGAGTCCGAGCTGTTTCCAGAATCGAATCTTTAAATGTAAGTGTACTTACTTTTAAAGCGAGAATCCAAGGATTTTCTTGCTCTTCATTCAATTCCTGATTGCAAAATAAGCATTGTTTTTAAAAATTTTAAAACAAAAAGCTGATTCACTTACATGTGCACATGTTGTCTTTAATAGCTGCAATAAAACACTTCCTAGTATAATTTTTACGACACTCCACATGTATGGTCACATATTATTGCTCTTTAAGATATTCTGTAAATTCATCAGCTCTTTCAGTACTTGTATTGATTAATGTCTTCATACCACGTTCTACAATAACAAATTCACCTTCAGTGATGTATATACGTGGTGTATTTATACATATTACGACGATTACAACTTTTTGAATCGTTATATCTCAGAAACGGTGGCTCTTAGAAAAACATTTTTTATAGATAATTATCTGCTCTACAATTTTTGTCTGAACTAATTTTGTGATAAAACTTACCGTTTTCTTGAAAATCGCGAAAATCTCGCTATTGTCACCTTTGACCCCGAGTAAATTTTTTTAGGTGCCGTATTGATAAGGACTTTTAAGGTTTCATTTATTATGGTGTTTTGAACAATCCTACCAATTTTCAGCTGGGTGGGAATTTTTGTACCCTCACTCCCATTTTTTGTTCTAATTTGACCGGACTATAGAATCTAAAATACTAAATTATTGCACTAAAAGCAAAGAATACCTACCCAAGAAGAGAAACTAAATGGGCGATTCGTGGACAAAAAACTGCCAAGTTTTCTCAGTGTTTTAGAGGTGGTTTAACGTCAAATGTAGCTGTCAATGTATGTAGAGCAACGTTTGGTATATTATTATTATTATTATTATTATTAGAGTTTTGTGAAAATTGCAGTATAGTTAAGTAGTTGATTTAACTAAGTAGTAATTAAAACAGTAAATAAACAGTAATACAAAACAATAATTAAAATATATGACAAACTCACTTCGAGGAACCAAGTTGCTGATATCAGGATGCAATCGAAATGCAGTTACAGCTAACTACAGTACTTCTGGATATGTGGCGGGTGTGTTACCCCCACGGCACTTAGGCCTCACTAGGCTTATTGTGTATCCTCCTAAGATGATAGGCACCTCCTAGCTTGTGAGCCAACCCACAGATTTAATGTAGGTGCTCTTCTTATATCGACCGGTGTTAGCCAATACTCGCCGAAAACATATCTTCTAATAAATGAGAGCGACGGGCAATCGTAGATGATATGCTCAATGATCTCATCTTTTTGTTCTCACCCTTTGCACGGTGAGGATTCTGACAGCCCCATGAAATGAAGATGCTTCCGTACTTGGCAATTACCAGTCAGAATGCCTGTGCTCAGACGCAGTTTATGTCTAGTCATAGTCAAGTATTCGTTTGTTCTAGTGTTGTCAGGATAACTTAAAAGCTCCCTGGTAACTCTGCAGTTTCTTGTTTCATCTCACCTTCCTTCAATTTAACAAGGGAATATTCTTTAATAAGGTCTATCACTACCAATGTTGTCAGTCCAATACAAGGGCCAGGTCCAAAAAGTATTTGGTTGGCCGCCTTCTTGGCTAGTAAATCAGCAAGAAAGCTACCTGTCGATGTGGCGTCACCTTTGATCGATCTTAAGGTTACCACTTTGTTGGATGGATATTCTTTCCAAAGCTGCGTGACATTTTTGTACTAACCCTGAGTAAATTCGTAGTATCTTCAGTACAAATAGTGCTTATCTACTATCTGTATAGATAAACATGTTCCTACCAATGATCTTGTTTCTGGTTATTTCTTTTGCTGCTATGAAAACCTCCGTGAGCTCGGTTTAAGCTACATTGGCACTATTGGTCACAGCCCATTTTATGTTGAGGTTTAAGGATTATATTCCACATCCTAAGTATTGTTTGGTTTTAGAACCGTCGGTGTAGATATGAATCGTACCTGCCACTTCCGGCTCTTCAATTTGTTGTTATATCTTCATATGGCTTATGGAAGATATATCTCGGGAGTGAGACTAAGAACGACTTCCATGGCTCTGGTTAATGTGGTTTTCATGGCTCCTGTTATGTTGAGACATGCTGTTATTTGAATTTGTTCTATTTTGGATTTTCGGTACTCAGACAACTGGACCGACTGTTAGCATAGGTCTTATGATGGCCATGTAAGTCCATGTGACGACTCTGGGGGAGATACCCCAGGTGCGCCCCACGGTTCGGCGGCGTTTTTCTTAAGTTATGTATGCTCTTTTGACTCTGTTTTCTAACTATGAGTTCGATGTTAACTTGTTGTCAAAGGTGCTACCTAGGTACTTCATCTCTGTTGTAAAATTTTGTTTTCTTGTTTAGGAGCTCTGTAGGTTCTAATTTAGTTTGTATCCTCTTCCTTGTGAAAAGGACCATTTCTGTCTTCTTGGGATTGATAAACAGTAAATGGTCCTTGCTCCACTGATCCATAATTGTTCTCAAAATTCCCTATTTGCAGAATAACCAGCTCATCTGCTTTCGCTATTGTTTAGTGACTATCATTATTGTACCTACAGTACTTATTTCTTATTAAAATAATCTATTTGACATAATGAACATAGTAAGAATTTTCTATCATTGTTACTTTAATATGTGTTTAATTCTTATGAACCAAACGACAAAAATTGATTAATTTTCATACGTTTCCCAGTGTAAGTTCCCTTGCTTTGGTACATACGAAAACTATTTCAGTTTCGCTTCTTGGGTAGGTATTCTTTGCTAAAAGGTGAATGATTGTACAAAAGTATATTTATATAAGGTATGTTTTAAAGGTTCACTAGATTTTTATCACAATGCAAAGTATAGTATGATGCTAAAGTTACATCAGTGAATAATAGACGATTGCAACAATGACTAGGTATATACCCGTATATATTTACTGCCCACAGATCACTTACTTTTAGAATGGAAACTGCAATGTTAAAATTCGAGACAGTTTTGTAGCACCCAGTGAGCGTTCTTTGAACTATTTGGACGAAAGTGGCGCCATCTCGCGGTCACTTTAGTTAACACAAAACGTGGGAACATTCAAAATTGTCATTCAATATTTAGTTTAAAAGTGGTAGTCAAATTAAGATTTGTTCATACTAACTCCTTTTTTACGTTTATTGTAGCAATAAAATTATATTTGTTACAATAAAGCAAAAAATGAGTAGTATGAACCAATCCTAACTTGACCACAAGTTGAAATATTTTATTATTTATTAGTATAAAAAATTAAAAAGTATGATCAACAAAATTAATTTATTAAAACAAAAAAAAATACAATTAGACTAATTAAATGTAGCGTGGAAAGTTAAGTCATTGTCCACAGAGGTTTAAGAGTTTTATCTAGAACAAAAAATAAATATTAATAAACTTATAAATCAAGAAGGGTACAGGAAGAAAAAAGCAGCTAAGCCACATTTTTATCAAAATTGAACTGGTCCGCCCTATTTTGTAAAATACCAGTATTAGCAAAGGCAAAACAGTGCATTTAAAATTATGTCCAAGGACTTAGCATCTTTTCCAGCTGTTTGGCATTTTCAGTATTTAGAATAAAAAATTACAACTGTCTGGTAAATTAAGTGGTAAACTACTATATAGTCAGGCAATATTTAAACAAAGTAACATCTTTTTATAATCAATTACCTTAAAGTATCGAAAGTTTGTATTTAGTCAGTCTAAATTAAATTTTGTTCTCTGAACATTTTGGTAATTGTGACTTGGCACCTTTTTTTCCTGAACCCTTCAAATATGTTAGGGAGCACAGAAAGTGAGGCATGAATAAAAGAAGATATACTGACCATTACTTCCCAGACTAGGCTACTTAGTGTATGTACATTGTCGATACAACCTCGACCTGATCTAAAGCCAGCTTGACACTCGGGTAAGATGTTGCAGATATCAGTCCACAGAGAAAGCCTATCTAGAAAAATATGCATAAATATTTTTGCACAACAGTTAACGAGTGCTATACCTCTGTAATTTGTTGGATCATCTGCAGGCCCGCTCTTATGCAACATAAATAGCAAAATATTAGACCAGGAATTAGGGGTGGTACCATTTTCAAATATGCGATTGTAAAGTGTGGTTACATATAAAATCAAATTATGTGGGAGGTTTTTAAAAAATTCGTACGTGATACCATCGCTACCAGGAGCTTTATTATTTTTACAGATATTAAGTACATTGTAGATTTCCTCGGTTGTGATGGGATCATCAAGGTATGGATGACGAACATCAAAAAAATAAATATCGGTATTTATTTGAGTTGGATACACTTCCATGTAAAATGCATTCCAAACATGAGATGGAAGAGTTTTTATTTTTGTAACGCTGCGAAACTGCTTAATAGTCAACCAAAAATCTTTAGCATTTGATACATTGGAGAGTTTAAGATATGCTTTCATTATTATATTCTTGTTTTTTAGTTGAAATAAGTTTTTTGTATTTATATTTAGTTTCAATATACTGTTTTTTAGTATGATCAGAAAAATTATTTTCTTTTGCATTTTTAGCACGGTTTTTGCATCAACACATACACTGTCAAACCAAGGTTTAAATAATAAACGAATTGAACAGAGAACGATGCAATAAAAAAATATTCTAATTAAATAATAAACGAATTGAAAAGTAAACGATTCACACTTTTTGTTATCAACAAAGACATTACAAATATAGACAAAATGTTTCATTCATAAATCCCATACAATTGCGGACTGTTATTGTTTTAAAATTATTAGTGAGTGGAAGAGAGAAAGACAGATCTCTTATGACCGGCTGGCAACGTTGTAAACAGTGTCCATAATATGCTCGCCAGTGGCGTAGAGTTTTAAACTTACCAGTATTGTCAGAGTAGTATGTTAAAAAAATACGTAAATATGTAGGTATATTTTTTTAGTAATATAATTATGATGATTTTTTCATGTAGGTAGATTAGATTATGAGTTGGACGTTATTTGTCCTTGTCCACCGCGACCTTTTCAGATCTATTGTGGGACTCCTGTTTGTTTTAGATTATGTCGTCTAGCCTGATCTTTTTTATTAGTCTTAGTAGCTTTGACAGTGGCTCCCGCATGTAGTTGCATGCAATTGGCTTTTCTTCGCCCAATGTTAGAAACCTCGTTTCAGCCAGGCATTCACATTGGCACAGGACGTGGAATATTGTTTCCTCTTATTCTTCACAGAACCTACACAAAGTTGCTTC